ATCCAAGGGTGTCTTCCCTTCAGGCATGACATGCTCTGATTGAACAGCATCCAAATTTCCCTCTTCTCCCTCTGCCCCTCAAATTATTTGCCTCCCTTTCCCCTTATGTGACAGTCATGCTTAGGTACCTTGTAATGACAAAATGGCTTCCAAGTATCCTTAAAGTCTAGGAAAAAGGGACAGTCTCCAGTAATTTCTGTCTTTCTCTGATGCTAGAGGAAGTTACCAGAATGCTCATTGGGCCAGTTGTTCATTCTAGAACTCACTGAGGTTGGAGTATGTGAAACTCCAGTTACACCTGTATTGCATGCACATACCTATCCTGAAACTGGGCAGCTTCACCCAAATTATGTGAAGTGTGGAGAAAGGGGTTTGCAGCAATGGAAATATGCAGGGTGAATGCTGAATTTCCAAAAAATAAATGTCAAGTGTACTTTCTGCAGTGGCATAATCCAGAATTATACAAAGCACAAATTTGCATTTATATATTGTTTTCCCCTTGAATGCCATCTCCAGTGATAAGAGGGTGCGAGCTAAAATGCTAGAGTTTCTTGGATCATCTTTCCGTGTACGTAGTTTGAAAACATGTTCCCTCCTTAATAGAGGATAGCAAAAAGGGGCTTGGGTTAGGCAGGAAGATAGTCAGTTGGCAGGATAAGGAGCAGGGAATCGTACAGACCCATAGTTTCCACCAGTCTTTTATTACCTTGAGTCTTTATTATCTCTCATTTCCAGGCTATCTGCAGAATATCTTGAAACATGAACTAAATCCATAGCCACCTCACCATCCATGCATCTTTTCTTGTACAGTTCGTTTTTGCTGGATGGTGGCCCAGTTTGTCTGCATTGGGCACTAAAGAGAACAGTGTGTCCAGCACTAATCGGACTTTCCATCACAGCATTTAATGTCGTCTAACAGGAATGGGGTTTCTTAATGTGTCTTTTGAGACTTCAGGAACCTTGAGCTTCTAAAACAGCTCTTCTTTGTCACAGTTTCTATAGTTCCAAGTTAAAGAATAAAATGGTGACATATTGAAATTCCCTTGAATAATTACACCTCCCCCCCAGGTAAACACAATTTACAGTAAGGAGTTGCTTCAGTCATTAGTGCAGTGAGGGGATTCCTGCAGGTGTCATTTGGGGAAGTGAACCACTCAAAGAGATAAGAATGAAAACCCGGTGCAGATTGACTTTGTCAACCTGGAACAGACTTTGGAGAGTCTAATGCCAGGCCATTCATGGTCAGCATATTTAAAACATAGTACAATTTGGAGAAATGTTTCCAGGCAACAATCAGTCCAATCAGTCCATTTCCAGGTGCACAATAAAGTTTAAGGTGTGACTATATAGAAACTCTTTCACAAAGTACATGTGACCATGAGGGTGGGTTCTGTAGCTAAAAGGCCTAGAATCTAGTGTGGTCTCTGACCTATAGCATAGAGGTCAGCAGGCCATAAAGTATGTGTGACATCTCCCCTAAGGATAGGTAATGGTCTAGGGAGGGAAGAGTCTGGAATAATCATTCTGGGGGATTAGGGTGACATCTGTTCCTTCAGATAGCAAAAAGGTCACTAGGTCATTAACAACATCCATTCTCAGCTTTCTGGATGGAATGTAGGTATTTGATTTGTATCTCCTCCCTTGAGGAGACACCCCTGCGTGATTAACATTCCTGGCTCTCTTAGTGCTTCTCTATGAGCACAAGGACCTCTGTGCCTTCACCAGTGCAGGCCACCAGCAAGTCTCAAAGCTCACTGCAGCTGGGCTGTGCAGAGAGGGGAGGACTTTCAGCATTTTAGGATCCCTGTAAGAGAAAGCTAGCTTAGTACATTCTTTTTTAATTTCAAGATGTTATTTTATTATTGTTATTACAGAATCTGGAATCACATTGTGATTAGTGTTTTATCTTTGTTTAATTGGCAGGTTTTTAAAAAATCTTTGCTACATTGAAAATGCTCTTGAAATTGAGGTAGTGGTTTATTTTAGTGTCAGTTTGAGCCACAGGGAGCTGACGTACTTTGGATATGGAATGCTCCTCAAAGACCCTTGCGCTTAATTAAGTCTTGGTCCTCAGCTTCATATTGTTGGCAGGTGGCAGAAACTTTATGAGGAGCCTAGGAAAAGGAAGTGGGGTTACTGAGGGGCATATTCTGGAAAAGTTGGATGCTGGTCCCTCTCCTGCTTCCTAGCTACCATAAGGCGAGCATCTTGTATCAACAAGCTCTTGGCCACTACCATCATGTACCACTTCACCACAGTCCAGAAGCAGTGGAGTCCCAGTGACCATGACCTGAAACAGCGGATAAAATACTAAGCCCAAACCTTTCCTCCTTGCAAGTTGGTTTATCTTAGGATGTTTGTCATAGTAATGGAAAATTGAGGGACTCAGATCCTCAGACGTTTGGGGGAACACTCTGGATGGGTCTAGGGTATTTTTAAATAATATTAGCCCTTGAAATGGTAGATCAATTAAGTAGAATGCTCCTCCAATCATGTTTATAGGGTCTCACCTAGCTGCTTAAAGTCTAGAATAAAACAAAAAGGCTGAGTAAGAAGGGACTCCACCTGCCCAGCTAGAATGAATGGGGTGGGATATTGACCTTCTTTGAAACCTGCTCCATGGGCCCCAGCTTTGCTGACTGCAGATCTTGGGATGAGCTGATTCTTTATAGTAATTCACTCGGTATGTCAATATGTGATCCTGTTGCCTCTTTTTCTTGGAGACTGCTAAAGCAAAAGTCCTAAACTTGATGAAATAGTTATCAGGTATGTCTCAAACACGTTCTACACAAAAATTGTGGTATATTTCAGGGGCAGGAAGTGTCCACACAAGTCAGAGTGGCAGGAATTGAGCTCTAAGTGAAAAGACTGCTCTGTATCAGGATGGCTTTCTACCAACAGGGAGCCAAAGCTTAGGAGTTTTTGTGCGCACAGGGGGAATATAGGGAGCATGATTTTCTCCTTAGTTCTCTTGTGTGTAGTATGTGCCTTGGGATAGGTTTCCTTATCTATAAATTGAACAGATTAGCCTAGGTGATTTCAAAGACTTCTTCCCTTTTCAGATTCTGAGAAAATTTGTTTCAGTGAGGGCAAAGCGGCCTAAACAGTGGTGTCGTCGATAATCAGATTCTTTAGCAGACGTGTAGTGCTTCGGTGATGCCAGGAGAGCCGCAGTGTACTCAGATCAATGATAGCTTTACTGGGTTGTGTGGATGGTGGCCATCACATTTTGTTTCTGTAGAACTTGAAGTTGAGATTACAAAGTATCTCTTCCAACATAAATATATTATGAATTCATCTCAACAAGTTTGCTAGGATTGTAGGCGTGGCCATGATAAGACCATAGGGTGCCTTACAGTCAATAAAGGGTCTTCCTCTCTAGGCAGAAACTTTCAGTACAGAAAGGCTAACGAGAGGAATAGCTGCAATTTTTGAAAGAATATTTATCTTTGGTGAGAAAAAAATCATATGTCAGGATATTTCAGTTCAGGAATTATTGAAGAGTAAATCATTGGGAATTAATGTTCATCTAGTTTTATTTAAGGAAGTGAGAGAAGTGTTTCCTGGCAGGATTGTGTCTTGTGTGGTTCTTAGAAAAGCAGGCCCTGGTGAGTGGGAGGGACATCTCACCTGCCCTCCCAACCCCTTCCCTTAGATTTAGTGCAGACCACTCAACCTGGGGAACAAGGAAGAGAGGAGTGGTTCCAGGAAGTACAGCGTCTCCCAAACATGACTAAGTGTCATGTGGACAGCAGTTGGTGTTGTACCCATACCACAAAAAAGTTCTTACTTTTATATGCATGTGAATGTTTAGCCTGCATGTATGTTGCTGTGCATTGCTTGGTGCTCACGGAGACCAGAAGAGGGCATTGGATCCTCTGGAACCATGTGAGTGCTGGAAACCAAACTGTGGTCCTCTGCAAGAACAGATATCTGTGTCTGTTCAGTCCTTGGAGCTCTGCTCAAAGTCCCCACAACCTTCTCTCTGGATGCCTCAGCCATAGTCAAGTCACATGAGAGAAAGGTAATGTGGCACTTCAAAGAGGAAAACTATACCCAACTGAAGATGCCTGCTGGGTGTGTGTGTGTGTGTGTGTGTGTGTTTCAAAATAGTCAGGGCATTTTATGAGGAAGATGAAGCTTGATTCTTCGCAAATCAGTTTGGTTTGTTTGGAATTACAGGGCATATAAGAAGACTAGCTAAGATGCCTGCTTCTGCTGTATACAGCTTGTCCCCATACCCAGATATTGACAGGAGTAGAGCTAAATCATGAGGGTTTAAGGTTTCTGTGCTTTGGTTGGCCAATACTAAATGGTCAGAGAAATCTATCCTAAGAGCTCTGTAGACTGGTTCATTAGTCTGGACACCACATTCCCTTTGCTGAGATGTCACCATAATCTTTGTTGCACAGTTTCTAAGTTCCTGATAATTCTTAGACAAAGGGGATGGATGTGTGAGAACAATGATGTTCAGGACAGTAATTGTTTGTCTGAAAAAAATTAAGAATCACAGATTACTAGAACTGTGTTAAAGGGGGGCAGGGAATGAAAATAAAACTCTTGTGTAAGTCTTATTACATATCACCATTTTTGTTTTTGAGACAGAGTGTCTTTGTATAATAGTCCTGGCTGTCCCGGAACTCACTCTGTAGACCAGGCTGGCCTCGAACTCACAGAGAACTGCTTGCCCCGCCTCCCGAGTGCTGGAATTAAAAGCGTGCTACCACTGCCCGGCTTCACCATCACTTCTTTACTCCTGATCCTTCCCAGCTTCTGTATCTAATGTGACTAAAGTATATACCTGTAGGACTGTTTGTTTCTCATTTTACAAGAATAGGTTCAAACGGACAAGTCTTGTTTAACCCACGTCCTTCTTAGAAACAATGAAAAAGGCTTCACATCTGGGACTTGGTACTCTGCATTATTAGGTCCCATTTCTGTGCCTGGGTTGACACCTTTCACACCAGCAGTAATTGTTCCTGCTTTTCCCCTGTTTTTAGGTTGGCAGCCTCGATGGTTCCTTCTTTGTGGGGGAATACTGTCCTATTACGATTCTCCTGAAGATGCCTGGAAGGGTTGTAAAGGGAGCATCCAGATGGCAGTTTGTGAGATTCAAGGTGAGTGACAAGCAGCTTACAACTTTTATTTTTCTTTGTACCTCCCTAGAAGAATGACAAAGCCCTGGCCCCTGCATGCCTTTCTCTGTTGTTCCTGCAGTACACACTGGGATATGAGGTACAGTGTCCTTGTAGTAGAGCCTTGGGAAGAAATCTAAAACTACAGCCAGCTTTTTCAGGATGGATTAAATCAGAATAATGGGAGCAGCAGTTTCACACTCAGACAGTACCCATTCCTTTCCTGCTCACGTGGGGCTGGAGATTGTAAGGTGTTGGTGATTTACTGTAACATCAAATGCTTTTGTGTTTAAATCAGGATAGACATACATACCCATCTGCCCAACCCACCTCCCATTCAAAATAAGCAAATACCTACAGGGCCAACAAATAGTCTTTACTTCTTAGCTTTAGACTCTTGGACAGTGAGATGTGTGGCTGAGAAGAAAACTGTTCGATGGGAATTTGGGGAAAGTCAAGGAGAACGTGTTTTGCTAGTTTCTTCTCTGGAAGGGTTCTAAGACCCACACTCTGGCCTGACTGCTGAAGGAAAGAAGAAAAGAGGAAATAGGTTCTTGATTCCCAATAGCTACAAGGAGATAAAGATTGTACCCTTGCTCATTAAAGGTATATTAGTCTGTTTTCTTTTGCCATAATAAAATACTCAAGTATGATAATGTAAAGAAAATCATTTTAGTTAGCTAATACTATTAGAATATGGAAGTCTAAAATAGAAGAGTGCTAACTCTGGTTAGAGCACACTGGGTAGGTCATACCATGGCAGATGACATCATGATGATAGACTGTAGGGAAGGCAGGTATCACATAGGAAGCCAGAGAAACCAGGGAGGAGGCCTTGTTCCTGTATAATGACCCCCCTCAAGTACTAATCGGAACCCCATGAGAACTGTGTAATTACCTCCCAACTGCTAGGATTAAAGGTGTATGCCACTACACCCTGCAAGGTTTCCCTTCCTGATCAACAAAGCTGTCTAGAACTTAGTGTCACTAAAAGTTGGTAAGGACTGACCCATCTCTCTGAAGAAGCTTCAGGAGGCTGGAAAGGTGGCTCAGTGGTTAAAAGCACTTGCTGCCCAATAATAGGGACTGGAATTTAGATCCCAGCACCCATGTAATAAGCTGGGTATCCAGCACACTGCTGTAACCCCAGATCTGAGTAGGACAGACACAGGAGGATCTCTGGGGCTTGCTGGCTGCTACCTTAGCTATGAGAACACATGTTCAGGGAGAGGCTCTGCCCCAAAGGAATAGTTAGAGTGATAGAGGAGAATAGCTGACCTCTTCTGGCCTTGGCATACACACAGGCATATGCACCCCCCCACACACACGTGCACACATAAGTGCACCGATAAGTGCGTAATAAATCTTAACAAAACAGAAAGTTGGGGTGAAGCTGCCCAGGCAGTTCTTACCTAGTCTGATCCCCTCCTCCATTGCTCCTAGTTCATTCTGTGGATAACACTCGCATGGACCTGATCATCCCTGGGGAACAGTATTTCTACCTAAAAGCCAGAAGTGTGGCAGAGAGACAGCGGTGGCTGGTGGCCCTAGGGTCTGCTAAGGCCTGCCTGACAGATAGTAGGACCCAGAAGGAAAAAGGCAAGTACTGATGGTTCCCTTGTCTGAGAACCTTGGGAATTACCCAGAGGCATCTCTGGGTTCCCTTGCCCAGCATTTGATATTGTTGGAATGCTATGTGTCTAAGCAGAACTTACACCAGGGTCCCTACATAATTCTAATTCTGCTTTCTTAGTGAGGTAAAAAACATGAAGACTTTGGAGCCAGACACAACTGGCTTGAATGATGTATCAGTATTTCACAGTTGTATGATTCTGCCACAGGCCACTTAATTTTTCTGAACTTCATTCACCTCATCTTTGCAAAGGTGATGGTTTCTGCCTTGGAAGGATGACTATGAGGTCTGGTGATGACATGAAATGTTATCACAAAATTTGATATAGAGTGGGTGATCCAGAGAAGCCTAGAGTCAGGGTGTTCGCTGCAGTATACACCTGCTTTCCATTGTCTCCTCTATGGTGGGTGGATACTTAATTACCATGTTGCTGCTGCTTAATGCTCATTGATATCACTTGGTCTGGGCACCATGGCAGACCTTTTTTGCATTGGCTAAGAGTGTCAAGGCTTACTTCCTAGCCCCTGGTTGCTACTGTCACAGATCCACAAGCCTGTGTGTACACTTGAAGAGATTGGCTGTGCTGAGGGAGCCTTTCATGTGACAGATGGAGAAGTTCCTAACTCTTCAGGTAGACACAATAAAGTGGCTTCTTCCTTAGTTGTTTTGGTGCTAAATCAAACAAATTCTTGAAGCTGTTGACTGGACTCAAAGCAGGTGATAATATGTAACACTTTTATGAAAAAACAGAAGTGGCAGCAATTGTTTCTGATCCCTTAGCACCAAGGTGGTTGCAGAGCCTTACTGGTAACAGCTAGGTGCCATTAACCCTGGTGGGTGCATGTAGAACCAGTCCTCAGACAGAACCCTGTTCCCAGTGGGCAGATCACTATGATCCCATATTACAGAGAGGCGAACTCAGACCAGAACTCTGGGCTCGGGCTCTGTTCCCAGTTCTCAGGAGAGGGGCTTCCCATACTCTTCTCTTTCTGAACCTATGATTGATTGTTCAGTACATTACCTCAAGAAACAGCTGGGGTATGCCCTCTTTCTATTTTTGTTCATCCCATATCTTTACCTATCACATCTAAAACAAGTACCATAAACCTCATTTGAGGCATGAGTTACTTCCTTCACTTCTGTGCAGCTTACTAACTAGGGAATGGCTGTTCCTTCTGGTAACTACTTTACCTTTTCTTGTTGTTAACTTAGAATTTGCAGAAAACACTGAAAACTTGAAAACCAAAATGTCGGAACTAAGGCTATACTGTGACCTCCTTGTTCAGCAAGTAGATAAAACAAAAGAAGTGGCCACATCTGGTGTTGCTGACTCCGAGGTAAAGTGTTATTTTAGTGATGATGTTCCTGGCATGCTACAGAAAAGTAATGTCAGATCGCCTATGGGCATTTATTCTCTACCAATTCCTGACTATCTTGGAATTGACTGTTCTTTAAAAGAAAGTGGCAGAATTCCACACAGAAATGCATGCATTGCAGTGCTTAGAAGCACACACTTTCTTACCCTCGAAGGAATGTAGGATTAATCCATAAAAATCGCATAATATGGGGGATTTTTAGCTTTAGTATTAAGAAAAAAGAAAAAAAAAACCTTACTGAAGTATGTTTCTTCCCAGTTTGCACTGCTTTTTAAATAGCTAGTCTTCCCTGTCTAACTGAACTCTTTGCTTACATGTGCCTACTGAGATGTCAGCATGATGTCTGTCAGTGCTGTCTGTCGTTCTTGGTGAGACTGACAGGACTGTACTCTGTCACAGTAAATGTGCTCTGAAACAGCCCCGTGCTTTCAGAGGTGGACACGTGGCTTTGTTCCGCCATCACCAGCAAGGTTCACAGTTTGTTTGTTTGTTTAGAGGCAGGGTCTCACTATTCAGCCCAGGCTAGTTTTGAACCTTCCTAGAGAAGCGTCCTGAGTTCCGGGATTGCAGGCATGTGCCACCATGCCCAGCTGAGGATTGGGACCTTTAACATTTGTTAATGAAGTTGCCCTTTACTGTCTCAAAGCATCAGAAAAAGATTCATTAGGCTGTGTGTGAAATTATTCACTGAGGAAGAGAGGGTCTCTCTAGTGCCCTCACAGCAGCTATGAGCTACAGCCTGAGGAACCCAGAGCTTATGCCTAAGACTGTCAATTCATTTTCTTAGGTGTTAGAACACCATGGCACTAATACTGTTTGGAAGTCTTTGTGATAAAACTTTCATTTACTTTCTTTGGCTTCTTATGCTCATTCATCAGCTACCTTGTTGTGTTTAGGTACTGTGTTTGTGGGGATGAAGGAACAGAAAAACCAAAAGCCATTTCATTCCTGTTTTTGCAGGATTTATGTTCTAGAGCATGGCCTACCAATCCACAGGTTCTATATCTGGGGACATTTTGAATGTCAGGATTGAGGAAATGCCATTGGTATATAGTGTTTAGAAGCCAGGGGTACAGTTAAACATCTTACGATGAGCAGGAGAATTATGCCTCACCCCTGCAAGCAGCAGACAGACAGAAAGACTACCTTAGTCATTATACTATTGCTGTGAAGAGACACCATGACCAAAGCAATGCTTATAAGAGAAAGCATTTAGTTGGGGCTTGCTTACAGTTTCAGAGGTTTAGTACATTATCATCATAGCAGGGAGCATGGGGGAATGTAGATAGACATGGTGCTGTAGAAGTAGCTGAGAGTTCTGCTTCTGGATCTACAGGTAGCAGGAAGGGAGAGACACTGAGCCTGGATTGGGCTTTTGAAACTTGAAAGCCTACTCCCCAGTGACACGTTTCCTCCAACAAGGCCATACCTATTCCAACAAGGCCACACCTTCTAATCCTTCTCAAGTAGTGCCACTCCCTGATGACTAAGCATTCAAATATATGAGCCTACAGGCCCATTCCTATTCAAACCACCACACAGACATACACACATACTAACTAACCCAAAGTCTCAGTGGTGCCAGGGTAGAAGCCTGATTTAGAGAGAAGGAAAACTGTGAACATAGCAGTCTGTAATTGAAGAAAGTGCTCACAGTGAAAGCCTTGAGAACTCGATAACAAATACGGATTGCAACCAACAGCATTGCCTGGGACCTTTATTAAAAATACATATCATCTCCCCAATCTCTAGTCAAGAGTGTGGCTCCAGAAGTTTCATGAACACCTTACTCATATCAATATCCAGATGCAAAACACCCAGACACGTAAACTACTTTAGAAGAAAAAAGTACTTATTAGGTGTTTAAATAAATGCCAGTTACCATAAACCCCCAAATCATCCACACTGGGAGCAAACAGTACACAGTGCCTGCATCTGTGCCCCGCACCTAGCGCTGTACTAGCTTACAGTGCAGAGCCAAAAGAAGTTGCCATTAGCTGGAGCAGTGAGGGTATGTATGATAACAGATAGCTTGGGCTAATTCATTACTATTGTTTATCATGATGTGCCTATTTATCCAGCAACATCTTGATTGTGTACATTAGTATTGTTTTGTGAATATAAACCTCACAAGAGATAATGCAATTGAGTTTTTCATTTTGTAGCAAGACAAAAGACTCTCTCTCTGGTTGTTATGTAGGAGGGAATCGATGTGGGAATGCTGCTGAAATCAACCTGCAACACATTCCTGAAGACCCTGGAGGAATGCATGCAGATTGCAAATGCAGCCTTCACCTCAGAGCTGCTCTACCATACGCCCCCAGGATCCCCTCAGCTAGCGGTGCTTAAGTCCAGCAAGGTAAAACCACCCAGCTCAGTTTCTCTCCAGAAACATTATGGAATGTTAAAAGTTAAAGGACACATCCTTTCAGGGTTAGTACTGCTTTTAGAGCAGCTTGCCGTATTTACACTTTTGTATCTGCCCTTGGTCCCCTATGCCTAGTTGGTTATTTTCAGCAGTTTGACTCCTCGTACACTTCTCCACTGTAGCCTCTTTTCTATGACCCCAAAGAGTCTTGTCTAGAATACTGTTATCCTTACTAGTCATAGTCAGCCTGGCCCTTCCATTAATCAACATTAATGAAGTGTAATTTGGGTTTTATCTAAACCTTGCAATCGTTCCCTCATGGCCTATAAGCTCAGACCAAAACTTTGTAGCCCCTTCCTGTATCACCCACTTTTGCCCTTGACAGTGCCTCGCCTGAATGTACTGTTCCTTGTGCCATTTTCCAGTGCTGAGAATACTCTCTCAGCTTCTCTCCCAGATTAGCCCCTACTCGTCTTCCATTAAGTCTTCCATCAGTCCCTATATTGGACTAAGAAGACCTCCTCTCTTTCACTCCCCTATTCCCTAACTTCTGTTGAAGTTGACTTAAGGGCAGGAATGTCTGTAATGCTTACCTTCATGCCTCTAGTGTTGGGTATAATGCTTCACCATAATTTGCTATCTATTAATGCTGAATAAGGCTAACAAATTACAAAAAAAGCTAGTCACTAGGAATTTGGCTATGATAATGAGGTCTTTCAAAACCCCATCTTCCTTTCCTAAGATATTTGGATGCACTTTGTTTGGAGGGGCCCTAGAATTCTTTTTTTGAGGAGGGCAATATATATTATGGCTGTATTGACCACTTTCCTATGTGATGATGTTCTAAAATAACACTGCTGCAATTTAACACATGAACTTTCATTTCTTTGCTTTTTTCTTTTTTAAAGATGAAACATCCTGTCATACCAATTCATAATTCATTAGAAAGGTATAGTAAACTCTTGTTTTTCTTCCTTCTAGAAGTTAGAAATCTATATACACTGTGTTCCTTATTTTTAAAGAAGCAGTGGTGTGGTGATGGTGATTTGAGATGGTACCAGGAGCAAACTACTTGACTCCTTCTGTGTGAAGCTCAACTACAAGTGGGTGTGGCAGAATTGGGCAGATGTGGCTATTTCCCTAGGAAATCGAGTCTTGCCATCACATCCACTGACTTAGTCTGTCTAGAGTTGCTGAAAGTTAGAAGGTGTCTTGTAGAAGAGCTGCAATGTGCTTTTCCCCAGGAAAACTAGTGCTGCTCCTCTGTTTTATTTAGAAATGAGAATCTTAAATAGCTCAGTAAGTTGATGGGTAACTTGCTAGCAAAATCTAGACTAGTACCATTACTCTAAATGATTCTTTGATTTAAAAAAATATATACACGGGGTGCAAGTTTGTGTAGCTCAGTGGTGCAGTGCTCACTCAGCATGTGTGTGGCCTTGAGTCCTATCTGCAGCACCACCAAGAAGGGAAAAGCTCCCATTACACAGTTGTCAGGGTCTTTACTCATCAAAAGAGTGAAGTTGTGTAGGCACTCCCATGAATTCACATAGTACAAATAATCCTTTTAAATTGTTAATAGTCCATCCCTTTATATGCTGTCGATATATGGTGTGTTCGTGTGCATGTGCGTGTGTGTATGTGTTTTGATTTGTTATTGCAAAGATAGTCCTCAATGTGGTTCTCGCTAATTTTTTCCTTTTCAGATATTTTTACTAGAAACATTTTTGTTGATTTCTATTTCTTTTGAGACTTTAGCTCTATGTATGTCCACAGTTTGAACTGTGAGTTTGTGTATGCATTTGAAATAATTTTTTTTCTAGATTTGCTAGAATCATTATGTGGCTTGGATGCTGTCCTGTTACTCCTTTAATTTGACTGGGCATATTGCATCCCTTTAACAGAATCAGCTGGTTCACTTAAGTGTTAAACAGCTTTTTCTGCTCCCCTGATGGGCACTCAGTCCCTGGATGCACTGTGATCCTCCTGCTGACAGGAGAAATTTATTCTGGCCACAGCTGGAGCTTCAGACAGTTAACTGCTAAGCAAACATGTTTAAGTAGCCAGTGTGATGAGGAAAACCTCCCGGGGAGAAGTTGAGGAAAGTCAACTAAGTGTTAACTGTGGCACCTGGAGAAAGCTTATTGCACACTAAAGAGCTGCCCTGAGCATTTCCTGGTGCTGGTGGAAGCAAGGGGATTGAGTCGCATGGTACAGGAAAGCCAGTAAGGCTCCTCTATTGATTGATCAATCGATCCATCGATCTGTCTGTCTGTCTGTCTATCTATCTGTCTATTTAAAAAGAGGGTCTTAATCTATAGGGTAGGATGATGGCAGTCTTTTTACCTCCACTTCCTAAGTGAAGGAATTACAGTGTACTTGCCTTGGTGTCTGTGGAGACTGAGAGGTTTGGCTTAGTTTAAGAAATCTGTTTTTAATCAGTGTTTGGTGATTGTGGATCTTCCCATCCTTTAGAGTAATATCTGGGCAACCTGTGGCAAATCACAGTAATTTCTTTTAAACCATTTGTTTTAGGCAGATGGAATTGAACAACTGTGAAAATGGATCTTTAAATATGGAAGTAAATGGTGATGAAGAAATTCTAATGAAAACCAAGAGTTCCTTGTATTTGAAATCCACAGAGGTAGATTGCAGCATGTCAAGTGAAGAAAACACAGATGATAATGTGACAGGTACTGTCAAAAGATAGTTTGGCAGTCTGTATTGAATAGTAGACTTAGGGTCTTCCTTACACACAGGAGGGCACCAGTTCAGATTAGCCTCCAAACAGTGTGCTGTTGATCTAAGCGAGCTTGCTACTGCAGGTGACATAACTGTACAGCATTCTGTTACTCCATCCAACACTGTTTAGAGGAAATACAGAGTTCTTGGCACTGATGCTCATGGCTGTGTTTTGGTGGGTGTAAATGGTTCACTGACTTTCCCACAATATCTCAGTCTTTTGAACCCAGACTGTAATGTCAGACTTGGTATGTAACATTAGAGCAGCTAAGTTTTTCAATCTCCTGGTTTCTAGTAGGGCCTGAGGATGTCACAGTTTACCAACTACCAAACTTCTGTGAGTTAATCAAGCCAAATTCCAGGTAATATATGTGTAGTTGGGAATAATGTCCTTTCAAATTTACTAATTGCACTGGTACTAATCACAAAGCCCTGTCTTCATATCAGCCAGATTAACTGTACTAGAACTTGTAGTTGTGTGTTAAGTGCTTACTAAATGATTTTAAGCCTGAGTACTTAACTCAAATAAGTTAATTTCTTCTCTGGCTGTCTTAAAAGATTCTCTTATTTTTCTAGCCCGGTCAAGTTTTTTTCTTTTTTTTAATTGTATTAATCCTAGAAGCTGTTAGATAATGATCTAAGAAAAGTAACGTACAACCCTTAAAAGTCTGATCTCTTGAGTAAAGATTCTCTATAGGAATCTATGGTCACAGACCAGTCAGATTTAAAGGGAAACCTTTGAGCAGGGTTCTTTATGACATGATGGCAGTTTTCATGGGTTATGCTTATACTGTATAAAGTCATCCAAACACTGATTAGCAAATAATGTGAGTGCTCTAAGGGAGTAGTTTGCTTTCTACAATCCTGTGGTTTTGATCACCCGATCAATGAATAACATTGCTCTAATGCCCTTTTCTATTTAAAAACACCTATGTGGTCTAGATAAACATTGAGCTCAGAGCAGGCATCAGGCATCAACTGTAACTCGTGTTTAAATGAAGCTTGTCCACACATACTCTCTCCATGGAGATGTGTCTCAGACTTCTTGTATTTTTGCACCCTAGACAGTATTACTGCCTAGAACCTTCTTAAACTACAACATTAGTAACAAAAGGCACATGCATGCAAAACCATGGCAGTAAATAAAGGCATTTGTGGTTTGAGATTTGAAGCAAGACAAACACCTAAGTTTGTACCACCCTGTGTTTTCAGGATTACTTGAAAAGCACCACAAGTCTTGATTTGGGAGTCACAAGTAAATGTTAGCAAGTGGGCAAATCCACAGACAAAGAATATACTTACAACCAGGACTGTCTATATTTATAGGAGAAATACCTTAGAAACCACTAAATGCCTCTCAAATTGCTATAACTGATACCAGGAGGTCCTTAAAATCACATTTCAGGGGCCAGCCAGCAAGATTACTCAGTGGGTAAAGGCACTTGCCACTTAGCCTGATGATCCAGGTTGGATTCCCTAGAATGCATATGGTGGAAGGAGAGAACCCACTCCTCCAAGTTGTCCTCTGACCACACACATATACAAAATATATAAACAATACATCATGTTTTTGAAGAGTAATGAACAATAATGAAGTAATGGTGATGCACTGATGACCGAAAACAAGATATACATCTGTTCTTCAGGTGCATATACGTGCGTGCATACGTGCATGCATGTGTGTACATACATTTCCTGTTCTATGTTTTAGAAATTTTTACTAATGATTATGTGTTAATTTTTATACTAAATATATAAGAACTTAGTGATAGGCATTGTTTACTTTGTAGTCCAAGGTGAGATACTGAAGGAAGATGGAGAGAAAAACCTGGGGAATCATGACAGTGAGCTTGCACAGCCTGGATCAGACTCAGTTTGCTCGCCAGAATCCGTCTGGGAAGACAGCGAAGAAGTTATCCCAACTTTCTTTAGTGCCATGAGTGCCAGGTATTCCAGGCCCTTTAAACTCCCTGGCAATCAGACCCCAGTTTCCCTTTTGAGAAATAAGTTGTGATGGCATATTTGGATTATGAGAGTGGATTATCTCCAAAAAATTATGTTAATGGATTGTTTTGTAATAGAAAAATAATGTCTGGGGCTACTCATGAAATCAGGCAAAGTGGTTTTCCCTAAAAAGCTGTTTTTGTGACATCTCTGAACTGCAGAGTGCTGATGTGGTTTTAATCTTCTGTTCTCCATGTCACCAAATTGTTCAGCTTTAGTGACATTGAACTTCTGGAAGACAGTGGCATTCCCACAGAAGCATTCTTGGCATCTTGTTATGCAGTGGTTCCAGTACTAGGTAAGACAGCTACAGTTGCATTATATTCATTAGTTTCTAGACTGTTTTTCCCATCATAGTTATTTCAAATGATATTTACAGTAAGTTGATTCTTCTTAGCTTGCTCTTGACATCACATTCCACATAGTGAAAACTGTGTGACTTAAACACTCTTATATTTTCCCATTCCATTCTAATTGATTAAGTTATTGATCTTAGAGTGGTATAATGAAAACAGGGGATTCTGCTTTCTAGAAAATATACATACAAGCAAAGTGGAAGTAGTTCAGGAACAGACCTTCAAACCTATCGCTGCTATGGGGAAATATCTTACCAATCAAAAGAATTTTGTCAAAAAAAATTTGTGTACATATATACATTTATGGTATATGTGTGTGCACATGTGTGCTAGAATACATGTGTGCATAGGTACACAGTCATGTGGAGGCTAGAGGACAATCTTGAGTGGTCTTCCTTAGGCCACTCATGTTATTTTTTGAGACAGAATTTCTTACTGGTCTGTAGCTAAGCATGTAGGCTAGGTTGGCCGGCCAAAGAGCCCCAAGGATCTACCTCCCCAGTGGCCCTACCAATATTGAGACAGTCAGCATGTGCCTCCATGCCCGGTCTTGGGGAGTGAAGGCAAGGGCTTTACAGCCATCTGCTCAGCCCGTCGTCCATGTTGGAATTCCTTTTTGTATGTGTCATGATGTGAAGATTGAGGGTCATTTTTTCTTAATCATAATCAAGCTATTTAGGAACCATTTGCCAAGAAAACAGCCACCAATATCCTCTCATGTTACTCTGGCCATCTGCTCCAGAACCTGTAGGCCTATAAAATGGGTCTCTTTTCTGCTCCCAGGATTTGTTTATATTTCCTTAGTGTCTTAATTATGTAAAGCTCAAAATCAGAGATTGTAAGTCTTCCACTTTTGTTTCTTTTCATGATTGTTGAGGCAATTCTAGGTTCTTTACAGGTGTGTATAATTTTAGTTTTAAATTACATATTAAAGGGCCTCTGGGATTTGATTAAAACTGCATTGAATTTATAAGCCAGTCTGAGGAAAATTAATGTCTTACACAACATTATGTCTTCTAGTCCATGAGTATGATATGTATATATGTGTTATACATATATATATATATATACACATGTTTTTTATACATAGATATATAAAACATATAAATGGATACACACACACACTTTGGTTGTGTTTATTTTCTCTAAACAATGCTTTGTATAACTTTGTGTTTCATTAGGAATAAACTTTGGAGTTTTATGGTTTTGATACTATTTACATATGTAGCATTAATACATGTAGATACATTGTTGTATGCTACTGGTTGTTTTTATAGCCATGAAATCAGATAATTTTATAAAATGCTTTTTCTGCAGCTATTGAAATTTATGTTTTTCTGGTAATTACCTATAATGAAGTATATTTTTACATTCATTTACATTCACTACTGTTTTGCTGTGTTTCTACCTCTTACTTTGTGTTCTGTTTTGCCTTTTTTTTCTTCTTATTCTGGCTCTAGCCAGTGAAACTATTGCTCTTCAGTATGCTATTTTATTTCATATTTGGGGTTGTTTTTAGCTATGTTGTTTTGAACCTTTTTTTTTAAGATCATCTAGATAATTTTTAGAATTCATTATTTTTTCTCTGCTGCTTATACTTTAAAAGTAAAGATTATGTTTAGCAAACATAAATAATTAAAATTAGAAAGTTAGATCTAGGAAAATTAAAATTAGTATAGTCAAACCACATGTAATTTTAAGTTTATAGAAGATACATTAAAATAGTAAAGTAAAAATTAATATATCTTTTGAAACATAGCATATCTGAAATGTCATATTAACATGTCGTCATTACAGAGAGCTGTTAACGAGGTGTTTTTCGTTCCTTGGTGCTGTCTTTAAAATCTGATGGTGTATTTAGACTTTCAGTTTAGACTGTGCAACATTGAAAGTGCTCAGCCAGCCTAAAGGACTTCAGATGGATGCTCTGAATTTATGAGGCATGTTCCTCAGACGTTCCACACAGGACCTTGTTCCTGTGACTCATCTCAAAGCAGCATGAGAGAAAAGCTGGGCAGCAAGTCCAGTTCCAAAGCCTATGTTTAGAAAATGACTTAGAAGTCAGAAAATCTTGGGGGAAAGATCTTCTGTGTTATTACTATACAAATATTTTCTATTGTCATAATATATATAAATGTTTCCTACATTTAAAAAAAAACTCTTTTTCAAAAATGTTTCTGATCCTTTCTTTCAGACAAACTTGGTCCTACAGTGTTTGCTCCTGTGAAAATGGATCTTGTTGGAAATATCAAGGTGAATATACTGGCTTGTCTCTGTAGAGACTTGTCAAAAAAGGAAAAAATCATTCACACTGGGAACTCTCAGTAGAGGAATGGCTGGAGTAGCCCTGATATGTGATAGAGACAAGCCTTTGGTAGGCTGGCCTCTTTGAAGATCTTAGCTGGATCAGTGGGAGGCACTCAGGTCAGCAATGATTGTATGCATTTTGGGGTTAAACAATAACAAGGTACATTTCTCCAAAAACATGTCACTGGCAATAGCTATTATTTGTCTGGGACTCAAAAAACCAACTTCCTGGTGCATCTGTGGAGCCATCAACAATAGGAAGTCTGAGCCTCCTTCTCAGAAAAGTTAGAGTTGTTTATATTACATCCAACATTTATGGTTAAAATCGCTTTTTAAACCAAGCGTGGTGGTGCATGCAAATCCTAGCACTTGAGTAGTAGAGGCATGAGGATCTCTGAGAGTTCAAGGCTAGCTTGGACTACAGAGTGATTTCCAGTATAGCCAGGGCTATGTAGAGAGACCCTGTCTCAAAAATAAAGTACAGTCTGCACTGCTAGGTATGATATGTTGAAGAAGTTCTGTGGAAGTTTCCCAGCATGTTTGGAGAGGTGGAAAGGTACATGGAGTCACTCATGCAAGTGATTGTTCAGGGGTGAGTAAAGGTACCTCAAGAGCATTGCTTAAAACCTTTGGCTCTTGGTGCTAGTTAAAGATTCATAGAACTCTTGGAATTTTTAAAATGTTTACCCTAAAAACATAAGAAGATAGTAAAGTCTGGCTTTGGTTTCTTAGAAATCTTCTTGCTTATAGATTTGAATACTGATACTACTGGTAATGTTACCATTTTCATGGTAGGCAATAGTTCTGGTTTTTGTTTTTGTCTTCCAGAAGGTAAATCAGAAGTACATAACCAACAAGGAAGAGTTTACTACCCTCCAGAAGATAGTGCTGCATGAGGTGGAGGCTGATGTAGCTCAGGTTAGGAACTCTGCGACAGAAGCCCTCTTGTGGCTGAAGAGGTGAGGCCGTCAAGTGGAGCAAGGGCATGCTCCAGTTCAGCTCAGTTGAAATGGTACCAGCTCACTGTTGCCTTTGAGTGAAGGAGCTAACCAAAGGTTAGACCTTCCAGAAAGTCTGCTGAAGAGAACATCAGCTTGATAGTGACAAATATTGTTAATCTTGGAAGTATTTGTAAGATCAAGATTCTAGACAGGCGAGCCAATGAGTTTCTCTTTGAGTGGCTTTCCATTTCAATGGCAAAGCCTGAGAAAACACTGAACTCACAACCCAAGTTTCTGGAGCCCTAAATCTGGTGTGGGGTTCTAGAATTTTCGTTTCTAATGAATTCTAGCTGATGCTAAAGCCACAGCCATAGCACTGTAATTTGAAAACACTGCTTTAGGAATGCCGAGGGAATGAGGTGGGTGTCCACAGCTTTCTAATAGGAAGCCAATCAGAAAGGGCCTTTGTCCATCCTGCCTGCCCCTTGCCTTGCTTGAGACACTTAAATAGAAGTTAGATTCTGCCATCTGAACTTTGAAAATAACATTTTTTCTCTCTTTCATTTTAGAGGTCTCAAATTTTTAAAGGGCTTTTTGACAGAAGTGAAAAATGGGGAAAAAGATATCCAGACGGCACTGAGTAAGTGTGCTTCATCATATTCTGATAATCTGCAGTTAAACTTGAGATGGAGACCCTGGAGGTGGGGACAGAGCATAGCATTTCTTTTTTAATTTCATTTTTATTCATTGCTTCTTATATGCTTTCTTTAAAAGGAATCTATGAGAATGTGACTTAATGGTAGAGCATTTACCTAGCATGTGTGAGGCCCTGAGTTCAATCCCTGTCTCGTAAGAACAGAATAAAGGGAGGAAAGAAAAGTACCTATGCAGTGACCACGTCCTCCAGGTTGGGCTTGGTAAGAATCAGATATCACCCTAGTTCATCATGAGGTTAGGTTTTCTTAAATGAGTCGGCAGGAATCAGTATTTGAAGAGAAGTTCATGTTAGAGTGCAGGAAAGAAAGTGGGAGGGGGAATCCTGAGGAGCTGGCCGTGGAGTGAGACTAGGGGCCAGCTCTCATCCTGCACTCCTCCACATGTCTATTTTGTAGTTATAGAGCCAAGATTGCAAGAAAGGCCTTGTGAGAGGAGATTGACCTGGATTTCCATCACAGTATGCTAACTGCAACATTAGGTGCTTCTTGATAGGTGGGCTATGGGTTGGTGCATCCATCAGAGTAGTTTTGACAAACTAGACTTCATAGCATCTTCACAGTACACTGATAATAACATGGCTGGATTCTCACTCTGTTGCATGAGTCTTTTTGTTTGCTTGCTTGGTTTGGTGTTATGGAGACGCATAATTCCATGCCTCAGTCTCTTGGGTGCTGGAATGACAGGAATGTGCCAACACATCAAGCATAGCATAACTCTTGGGATATGAGGAGGGAGTGAAATCCTTGTTATTCTAAAGCCTGGATAATTATAGTCTGGAGAGACAAAGTCAGGTATTAAGTAGCCATGGTTATAAACAGAAAAGTGAGTTAATTCTGTGCCTTTGGGGAGGGTTACAATATTCTCTGTGGCACTTTTTTCAGTTTCCTAGGAGGTATCTTCCCTCTTGGCACAAGTTGTGAGAGACTCTGCCCCCCTAAGACTTGCCCCCCTAAGATTTGCCCCCCTATCTTGGCTGGAAACTGCTGGTGTGCCATGTGACAATTGTGCCGACAGTTCTGCAGCACTTTAAAAATGGGCACAACTTAACTCCGTCAGTGCCATGTTACTCAGTGCAGAACCAAGATTATGAGATATTGAAGTACTTGCGTCAAACCCCATAGTCATCACATCCCACACAACACTAGTAACCTACCAGAAGTAGGGCTTATTTGTCCCAAATCAGAAGTGGAAAGCTTGTGTATCTCAGATGTCAAACCAAAAATTCCTCTTCTGACCAGCTTCTTAGCGTGGAAATTTCCTGCTGGAAGGGTGCTTTACTGGAGAAAGGGCTAGAGATGATGCTCTGCCTGGAAGGCCGAACATGTGAGCCAGGACAGTGCTGATGGTGCTCTTTGCTGCAACTGGGAGAAATGGATCCCCATGCTCACGGGGCTCTGCTTGTGAACAGGGGGGCTTTGACCTTGAGGTTAGCCCTTCCATGCCATTCTGCATTTGTTTCTCCTCTAGTTGGAACTTTCTGTGTTTGTTTGTTTGGAGGCAGGGTCTCATGTAGCCCAGGGTGGCCTCCAACTCAATATGCTGCTGAGGATCCCCTTGGATTTCAGATCCTCCTGCCTCCAGCTCAAGTGATGGGATTATAGGCCTGTATCAGCACTCTTGGTTCATGCACTGCGGGGCTGGGGACTCAAACCCAGGGCTTCCCATGTGCCAGGCAAGCACTCCGCCCACAAGCTGCACATCCCCCAGCACTCTGACTGGAACATTCACTTGAGTTGCAGACAGGACCCAGAAGATGTTGACTCTGTGAAGAGAAACTTGGAAGGACAGATGTTGCTGTACGACTGAAAGGACTGAAAGTGATCGTCGCCAGTCTTAGCTCCGCCTCCCCACTCTGCCTTCAGTGCTGCTCTTGGAAGAGAAAGGGGAGCTGTGAATTCGATATTTCATTCTGACATTCAGGCTCATTTCAAAGGTCTTGAATGGTGTCTTTGTAATAACGATAGTTTCCACTGCCATTCAGTGTGAGGAGCTAAAATACCCTGGCCACCTCCCTCTTCAGACATGGCTGCAAACAGACGTGATTTAATTTTTAATTCTTTGACCATTTCATACCTATAGTGTATTTTGCCGTTTCTGTCTATACTGCTGTCATCCTTTTCCACTCCTGCTGAACCCCTTCTCCACAAATATATTCACACTTTGAATTCTCTTTTGGAAGTATAAAAGTCAGTGTTTAGCAGGAGGGCCTTAGAAAAGCCAGTCACAGACCCAGACTCTATGAGCTCTAGTTTGTCAGTGCGTGCTAAGGTTCTTAGGCACCCCGGGCAGGCTTGCTCACCCATGGCAAACATGGCCTTAAGAGGACCATGTACATTAAGTTGTTCACACCTTAAAGACTCCTTGATACAGATTTCTTCTGGGACAATGGCTTTGCTTGTCTCATTTAAAATTATGGCCTCTGTAAGTGGAGCTGGTATCATGTCTGACTTGAGTTACGGTGGTTATGTAGATAAGAGTGTGTATGTGTGCAGGGTCAGTGAGATGGCTCAGCAAGTAAAGGCACTAGCCACCAAGTTCAGTGACCTGATTTTGATCCCTGTAACCCACATGGTAGAACTCTCACAAGTTGTCCACTAACCCTCACATATGTTGTTATATATAAACACACAAATATATCATAAAAATTTAAAGATTATACAATATGCTGCATAGAAGCAAATTAGCTTGCTTCTTTCAATTCTAAAACTGCCTTACTTGATAACAGCTACTATTAAATAGTACCCAACTATAGCCATAACAGTAGCTTCTTGATTTTTCTTTGCTTTGTTTTCTGGCAGTTCTAGGGATCAAACACATTCTAGGAGAGTGTTCTTACACTAAGCTGTGGAATAATTCCCAACACCCAGAGGAAATCCTGAGGCCTTACTCTGCACCCTTTGCTCTTGAGCTTGGAGTTGATCAAAGTGAAACAATTTGGGTGGTCTCATTCAACAGTGGTTCTGTGCTGTTAGTGTCTTCTGACATTCACTCAGGATCATCTCAGAGGATCAGATCACAGGTGATAGGGTTAATGGTCTGCCCTAGGACTGAGCCATTTGTAGATGCCACAATAAAAAGGTTTTGAAAATCTGTCTTGGCCGTGGAAGTGCAAAAGCTGCCCTGGGGTTCTGAGCACCATTGTCCTAAATGTTACTTGCTCTGCACTGTAACTCAGCAGGAAGGCAAATTCACACACCATGCCTCACGACAACTCCATAAATGTCAACCAAGATCTAGACCAGAACAACAAGAAAAGTTTAAAGGCTACTAGGTCATGTATTTAATGTGAAAGGCCATCCCAGACAAGGACAATTAAGTGAGAATGCAGAAGCAGGTATTTAAGATCAAATAAAAACCTAACTAATTATTCTGAAAGCACGAAGGGGCAGGAATCAAGTCCTGCCCTTTGGAACTCCCAGCATGCCTTGTACTGGCAGGGTTGCCTAATGACAAGTTTGCTCATGATAGTGTCCAAAGTTGACATGGGGCATGTCTGGGTGCTTGTTCAATATCTGCCCTTGGTTACTGAATTGATACTTGCTCACACAGTTTTCATCACTAGAGCTTCTCAAGAATTCATAGGGGTCTTTCTCAGTTTAGTTTTGGTTTCTTGAGACAGGGTCTCTCTGTAGTCCTGGCTGTCCTGGAGCTCACTGTGTAGACCAGTCTGACCTCAGACTCAGAGAGATCCACCTGCCTCTGCCTCCCGAGTGCTGGGATTAGAACTGTATACCACTATGTCAGGTTCATTTATTTCTTTTAGAGGCCAAAAAATACTAAATACTACCAGATTACAGAGCACATCTTATGATAATGAGAGAGAATTGCAATGAAGATTAATGCTTCTCATTATTTAACTTTCTCTGTGTAACCAAACTAGATCAGGTTAGACTTCATCTTATTTCAATTCAACCTCACATGACACAGATACTTGCAGCCCTAGAAATCAGCTAAGAACTTTTGACTTTTTTATGCATTTTTAGTTTATTTGTTGATATTGAATTTCATCAGTGATCTTCCTCGGCTTTTGTCAGGACCCAGCCAAAAGTGTATCTTCTCTTCTCCCTCATAGCATGTGGCTCCCATCTTGCAGGAGGAACACTCACTGTCAAGATCAAGGTGTAGACATGAGGAACAACCTCTTCCTCTGACTGGGCCAGGTGGGAAGACACAGGTAGCATGTGGTGCACCTGCTCCCTTGTCCTTAGGCCGGCTGCTCATGCTTTTAGACTCACAGTAATCTTGTCTTCTCTACTTCCTGCCCTTTAGAGGGAGGGCGTGGAGAAGGCTTTCTAGACTGTTTGATATGGTGGCTTAAATGGCACAATGCAGGAAATGTGAGTACTCAGAGGTTGATAGAACACTGACTCCAGAGCAGTTTGCCCAGCCAGGTGCTTTGTAGCTGAGAGCTTGGAACCAGAACAGCACTGTTTGCTGTATACTGTAAGGAAGTGAGTCTCGTTCTGTTAGTTCCCTGTCACAGATGTAATTGAGATGAGGATGGGTTTGTTGACTGTATAAAATAATACTCTGCAGGGACATTTTCTGTGAAAAGGAATACTGTGGATAGCGCTCTGTATAAATAAAATGCTGATTGGCCAATAGCCAGGCAGAAAGTATAGGCGGGACAAGCAGAGAAGAGAATTCTGGGAAGTGGAAGGCTGAGGCAGAGAGATGCTGCCAGCCACCACCATGAAAAGTACTGGTAAGCCACGAGCCACATGGCAACTTATAGGCTAATAGATATGGGTTAATTTAAGATAGAAGAACTAAATAGCAAGAAGCCTGCCACAGCCATACAGTTTGTAAGCAAGGTTGGGTCTGAGCGGCTGCAGGACTGGTCGGGGAGAGAGATTTGTCCTGACCATGGGCCAGGCAGGACCAGGAAAACTCTAGCTACAAAGGAGAGTTTTTCTCTGGAATGTTGTATGTTAGTTAAATCTACCAGTATCTTTAGCCCCACATTAAAAACTGTCTATTTGTGTGTGAGTTCGAGTGGGTCAGGGTGCACAGCATGCTGCAGTGTTTTGTTTCTTCTCCATCAGATACTATAAAACGAGGGAGGACATATATTAACGTTTTCAGAACTGCCACTGAGCCCTAGGTAACTCAGAATCCATACTGTAAAGATCTTTGCTGTTTGATCCCAACTTCTTTCCTGTCCCAGTGAACTGCTCCTAGTTGCACAGGTTGGCCCAATTCCATGAGTCTTTCTCATCTGTGGCCGTCACCCTCCTTCTGTATACCCTATCCAGCCTTCAAGATGCCTGAAAATCCTGGCTGCTGCACCGAGGCTGCGTTAGTCTCTGTTCCTTTGGCACTATAATACCATCCGTCATATAAATGTATTATATGATATGATAATGGTGTGTTAAAAGGCCAGCTCCTTCTGTATCCATCATGTTCTAAGAGCAGAGGGTTGACTGAGTGTAATTCATCTGAAGATCCACTGCTTTGCACAGTGTGTGGAATAGAGTAGATCAACACTAAAGTCTTGTTAAATGAAACAGCTTTCACTATAGATATTCAGAGATTTTGGCTTTTCAAAACAGGGTTTCTCTGTGTAACGGTCCTGGCTGTCTTGGAACTTGCTTTGAAGACCAGGATGGCCTTCAAATCACAGGTCTGTCTGCCTCCTCAGTGCTAGGATTAAAGGCATGCATCGCCACTACCTGGCTACAGCAGATTTTCATAATGACATTTAATACACTGGCTGGATTAGGGTCACAGGAAAGCAAGGAGACCCACTACCTTCCCCAGTAACTCCTGGTCCAGGTGGCTCCTCAGACAGCTGAAAGGGTTAGAAGGTGGCTGTCTTCTTCCTGGTTTTCCTCAGGGCTGGGTCTGGCACTGCCTGCCTGGGCTGCACTCTCTGTACTGTGTGAGTCAGCACGGCTCTTCTCAAGACGTCATCACCAAAGCCCTGGGTACCATCTAACCTTCCCGCATGCCATCCCAGAGTCAGCCAAGTGTTGGCCTTACACGGGGGATATGTGTCTTGAACCAGGTCCTGGCCTGCTCAGACTGTATGCCTAAGGGGAAAAATTAAATGTAATCTTAGGCTGTCCTTTCAACTGTGTCTAAGAATTTCTCCATATTTGCATTTAATTTCTTTCGCTTCTGCATGAGCTACCACACTAATGCTGACATCTCATCCTGTTCCAAACTCTAGCTAGCCAAGGGAATCTGTTGTATTTAAAAGCTTATATATAAAGTATGTTATAACATATATTGAAGTATTCTTTTATAGAAATACATTTTGTACAAATTCAAATTATGTGAAGTGGAAATGGTAATACTGAAGTTTTTAATAAAGCCTTATCCAAAAAATTGGAATAGAAGTTGGCTAAAATTACATAATTTCAAAGCTGTAGTAGGCTATAGACCTAAGGTGCAGCCACATGGCAGTGCTGGACTTAGAAGAGAGTGCAGTGTCCTGTGCGCTGCATTGCTTTCCCACATAGGAGCTCATACGTGTAGTTCTGGTACCTGTTTCTGTGCATCTGCCCTGGCCAGAGCAGAGCATGATTGGTCAGCCTATCACAGTACCACCTAAGCCTTCACTAAGGGGTCCAGTGCCTGCACCAACACCGGATTAGCACAGGAAAGTAAATAGGTTTGGAATAGAAAACTCAGATGTGCTCAGGCAAAACATGGAGATAAAGGTTAAGCTGCTCCTGTGAGGCACTGTGCAAATAACCCAAGAATGCCATAAGCTCCTGGAGACAATATGTAGACATAGATGAAACATATGAAGAAAAATCCATGGCGGGCTTCAGATTGTCTTCTGAGAATATATCTATTCTGTGGAAATGATGGAAAATCAGTTACCCAATATTTCAAAAAATGTATCCTTTGCATAAAATGCCATCCTTTGCTCTTGGGACTTTTTAAATTAAAATTATTATATACCAGTTTTAAAATCTCACTTTAAAATATCTTGGGACCAAAATAATAGATAGTTAACTTTAGAATATAGCATGTGAATAACTTTATTAACAGTTCTCCATACTTACTTTATAGCTACCTTCAGGCCAATCTTGTCTAGACATTTTATTTTCCTTTGTTTTGTTTTGTGGGATGTTCTGTTTTGTTTTGAGATACAGTCTCCCTCTGTTGCCTAGACTGACCTCAAATTTTTTGGCTCAAATGACTCTTCTGCCTTAGCCTACCGAGTGGCTGGAACTGTAGATGTATACACTACTCATGGCTTTTCCATAACATTTTAGAGGTTCTGGGCTTTTATACTGTATATCCAGGGCTACAGGGTATTAAGACAAATGTTTGCTACAAATGTTTTCTATCTCAGGAACAAACATTAAAATTGGCAAGAACTTAGAGATTATTTCACTAAGGGAGAGATGGTGATTAGAGAAGGTATATAAGCCTGGCTCAGGCTTAGGCTACATTTCAAAGAACTGTGTTTTAAGTTAATTGCATCATTCCAATTGTATTTAGTCATAATTTTCTATATCCTTTTCTCCCTACTTACTGCTTTATATATGAAACTTTCCCACTATGATAATAAACCAAAGTTCAGGTACAGTGACCCAGTATAGGTGAAAATGCCTATTTTTCTTGAATGAAATAAAAGGGGGAGAGGTAGAAGGGAAGGGGGAAGTCTGTCTGCACTCCTTTCGTTTGTAACACTGGGTGTGTAAAACCTTGGAATTAGATTTGTAGTACGCATACATTAGATAGTGCATTATGCAAATCACACCAGCATCTTACCATTCATACCTCACAAAATCTCTTTCTTTTCAAGATAACGCATACGGCAAAACATTACGGCAGCACCATGGCTGGGTAGTTCGAGGGGTTTTTGCGGTAAGTCATTCCTGTCCTCTAAAGTTTGCATAATCAGGAAGGTGTGTTTTGTTTACATGCTTGCTTTAGTTTTGGAGACAAAAATTGCTAGCTCATTTATGTTTATAGGCCTTTGGAATGTGGAAATGTCAGCAACAGAAAATAGCAAGACTCACAAAGACCAGTGAAGACTTATGGATGAGAGCATTTCAGTGACTTTAGAGTTGTGCCTCTGAAGTGACCGTCTTGGGGGTGGGGGGCATGAAATAAGAAACTGGGCAGCCATGCAGAGAGAGCTGGGTGTAGGCTGTGATTTCAGATACCACCAAGGAGAGATAGGTCCAGCTCTGAGTTCCAGCCAACAGCTCCCTTTGTTGCCCATTCTGTCAGCCCTGTTCATTCTCAGCTCTTGGTTCATTTTTGTTGTTGTTTTTATCTTCAAGTAGTAACTCTGTGGGTACATGTCACTAGGCAAGGCTAGTAATCTCTTCTTAAACAGTTGTTAGCACAGTGAAGATACTAGAAACTTCGATGTGTGTTCACCTGGTTCTGCCATTTCTTCTTCCTGGCACTTTGTTTTACCTTCTTAGCTTTTTAAAAATATATTTTGCGTTAATCTTTTAAATACTTATCTAGTTTATATATTTCTTTAAATATATAGTTCTACTTAGACATATACCCACATGTTTATGGAATGTATGTAATTAATTATATAAATTCTTATTTTTTACATTTAGCTATAGTATAATTCTGTAGTCTTTATCCATACTTAATAGATTCTGTGGTGACTTTTGTTGTTGTTTGTGGTGTTAAGGATCAAGCCCTCAGTCTCACAGGCTAAATAGGCACTATTACACCAGCCCCTGTTATAACCATTTTAATACCACAAGAGTCTGAGAAAAAATTTGTGTTTTTAGTGGCTGCATAATAGGTCCCATAATTTGTGAGTTTGTTCATATGAGCAGCACAGAATCTACTCACACATTATACTAAAATTCTTACTTCCCTAAACTAGATTGCTGAAAGAGTTGCCTATCAAATACCAAGCATTGCATCTGCAGCTTACAGTTTAGAGTACTTACCATGCACTAAACATTGTTTTCAGTGTTTGAGAGACATGAAGTTACTACTCTCCTAACACAGAGATAACTCTTGTTTTCCCTGCTGTAGACAGAGACCTGACACACAGGATATAGCTAGCCCATCTGTAGCTGTTGACAGCCTTAGGCAGGGTCCAGTGTTTGGTGGTGCTAGCATTTAAGCAATGCATGATTTCAAGCCTTTGCCACAGCACTGTCTGTAGATGGGTCAAGTCTGGATCTTCCCGGGCCTTGAAGCCTCACAATGGCTCCTCAAATCGTCCATACTTTGGAAGGCTGATTGCATTTTCTAGTATGCCAACTAGTCAATCTCAGTGGTTCAGAGAAAACATCTTTCCATTCCTGGAATCTAACTGATTTACCAACCAAATAGTGAACTTTAATCCTCAAACATGTCAAGTCTGAACAGTTACCAGCCGAGCTTCTCCTACCAGCTTGCTGATATCCAGCTGTCACTTGACCTTCTTGTTTTCCTCTCCAGTCAGATTGGAGAGTTGAGCTTAGCATTGGCCCTGCCTCTTTTTTCCTCTAGTGCTGGTCTGGCTCTAGACTAGCAGTTGTTTCCTTAGGAATTCTGAAGGCCTCAACTGTCATCTCCAGCCTCTGCTATCACTACTAGAAAATTCCATCCCACTCTATCAACTGTACCTGCTGTCAATAGCTCTATAGTCTTTCTTTCTCTTTCCACTCTCAGATTTCACGATAAGCTTTTCTCTGTTTTCCATCATTTGAAGTGCAGGGCCTGCCCTTCAGTTCCGGGAGATTTTCTACATTGTGGTTTGAATAACTACCTTGTTTTCCTTTTTCCGTGTCTCTCCTTTATACTTACAGTATCTTCTGAATGTTAATTATGTGCCAGGCTTTGGGTGAAACAATTTTATATAATCTTAATCTTTAAAATAAGAAAAAAGGTTCAGCTACCTTCTGTGGTTGAGGAAAGTGAGGTTCTAGGAAGTTAAACACTTTTGCTTAAATTCTTCACATGAATATGTGAAAAATCTGAGATTCAGTGATAGTAGCCACTCTTGCTTCACAAATGGGGAGAAAGGCTTCTCAAAGGCTTTCAAAATATAAAGGGAACCATTGTAGATCCTCTGCTGTTTTAGGAGGGCCAAGCCTAGGGAAATTCAGAAAGGGGATTTGGCAAGCTGGGAATAGCCAGGCTAGCCAGACTGTATCAAGAGGTAGAGAGAGAACCTGGGAAGTTGTCCACCGAGAAGAGACAGGCTGTGGTTGAGAAGCACAGAAGGAGCCTAGGTTTCAGTCCTGGCCCCAGTGTTCTGAGACTGACTGTGTTTATCCAAGATCAAGATAGAGACTGCATGGTTCTTACAGATGATGATTAAAATATCAGTCTAGAAGCAAACATTACCTCTGTATGAGTTACTGTTCCTGCAGCAGCACACCCAACAAAAGCAGTAGGAAGGAACGCTTGGTTAGGCTCACAGCTTGAGGTACTGTCGTGGCCCAGAGGCCACAGCAGCAGGAGCTTGAGCAGCTGGTCACACTGCTTCCAGAGTCAGGAAGTAGAGCAGGGAAGTCTACTGCCTGCTCTTTTTTATCTAAGCAGGCCCCAGTCCATGGAGTCGTGCCTCTTACATTGAGAGTACGTCTCTCCAACCTTAACTGACCCACCTTGAAACTCACTCACAGATGGGCTCACAAGATTGTCCCCTTAGTGATTCTGCATGCCTTCAGGTTAACACTATTGTCATCATAAGTCTACCCTTTTTACTATAGGCTCATGGCCATCTCAGCACAGAATGCATTCAGTCCAATTTCAAAAGTCTTCATTTTATTGTCTTTAACAATTCCAAAGTTGCCCAAAAGTCTCTTATGAGACCCAGGCAATCTCTTTAACTTTTAGCCTCTGTAAAATAAAAAGAAATCAAGCTACATTCTTCCAACATGGAAAGTAGGGCACAGAGTAAACATTCAATTGCAGAAGAGAGGAGTTGGGGCATAACATGGGAAAGTCAGACTAAAGAAAGACCAAAACCCAGCGGGGAAAACACCTAATTGTGCAGCTCCAAATGGAGCATCTAGGGATCATGATGGAATCATTGCACTCCAAAGTGCTTGGCCGCCCTGCTCTTGCAGCTCTGCTACCTGCAGCACATGGAGCCACCTCTAATCCATGTCTCCAGCTTTCCTCAGTGGATATCTATCCCACGGTCCTGGCATCTCCAAGATCCCGAGTTCTCCATTGCAACTGGGCTCCACATTTGCAGCATTATGCAGTGATCTCTCAGAGCCTTCAGGAAAGGAATCCAATCTTGCCTCATATAGCTTGGCCTCAGAGGCCATCTGGAATCTCAGTCAAGCCTACATGATTCCCTCACCCTTGAGTCTGTCATGGCTGTAAAGCCTGTAACACAAGGACAGTATTTTCAAGTTTTGCTGTCAGCAGCAAGATGTGGCCTGGCCTCCCAGTACCCAGTTGTATGGGCCTCCATGTGCCTTACAAGCTGACCATGGGGAAACACTTCCCTATGGTGGTAGTTGTTTACCAGGGAACCTCTTTGGTAGTATTCTCAATTCATCGTCTCTTTTCAAATGAATTTGTATTTATACAAGATGGGCCAGAGCATGCCACAGCCTTGATACTATCTGTCTTAGTTAGGATTTCTTTTACTGTGAAGGGACACCATGACCATGGCAACTCTTATAAAGGAAAACATTTAATTGAGGTGGCAGCTTACAGTTTCAGAGTTTTAGTCCATTATCATCATGCAGGGAGCATGGCAGTGTGCAGACAGATGTGATGCTGGAGAATTCTACATCTTGATCCAAAGGCAACAGGAAGTGAACTGAGTGTCACACTGAGTGAAGCTTGAGCAAAGGAGACCTCAAAGCCCACCCCTGCCCCCACAGTATAACACACTCCCTCCAACAAGATAACACCTATTCCAACAAAGCCACACCTCCTAATAGTGCCACTCCCTTTGAGGACCATTTTCTTTCAAACCAGCACATTTCACTCCCTGGCCCCAAAAGGCTTATAGCCATATCATAATGCAAAAATGCATTCAGTCCAACTTCAAAAGTCCCCATAGTTTTATATAACAGTCTCAAACTTATTTAAAAGTTTAAAGTTCAAAGTCTCTTCTGAGATTCATGCAACCTCCTAATCAAAATCAAAAGGCAGATTACATACTTCCAACATAAAATGGCACAGAATTTACATTACCATTTCAAATTGTAGGGAAGGGAGCATAGTGACGAAATACTGGACCAAAGCAAGGCTGGGCAAACTCCAAACTCTGCATCTCCATGTCTGATGTCACAACGCTCTTCAGATCTCCAACTCCTTTCAGCTTCCTTGACTACAACAAAACTGTTTTCTCTCGGGCCGGCTCCACTCCCTGTTAGCAGCTTTCCTCGGCAGGTTCCCACGACTCTGGCATCTTCAGTATCTTGTGGTGTCCAAGGCCGTCCAAGGTTCAGCTTCACAGCTTCATGCATTGTCCTCTCTCAGCCTCCATTCAGGGACACTCCTGACACATGCCTGGCCTCTGCAGCTTTCCTTAGTCTTGGAGGTAAATTCCATAGCCCCTTTCTTCTATCCTTAACTCCAGAACCACATAACTGATGCTGCCAAGTTCTGCTGCTTGCTGTGGTTGGAACGTGGTCCACTCGTTCAACCTTCGTTCACTTCACCTTTCTATGTTCTATGGTTTCCTTCACTGCCTAAGCTTGGCCGTCTTGCAATTGAATCTGTAGACCAGGCTGGCCTTGAACTCAGAGGTCTTTCAGTTACATCTTCACCAGCTTTCTGTTTTCAATGATTACTTTCACTGCCTAAGTTTGGCTGTTCTGGAACTTGCTCTTTAGATTAGGCTGGCCTCAAGCTCACAGAGATCCGCTGGCTGGTGCCTCTGGAGTACTGAAATTAAAGGTGTGCTATACCACACCTGGCTCTAAGCTTTCCTCTTTTTTCTTTTTGTTTGATTGTTTGTTTGTTTTTTTTTAAAGACAGGGTTTCTCTGCAACTCTGTCTGTCCTGGAACTAGCTCTGTAGCCCAGGCTAGCCTCAAACTCACAGAGATCTACCTGCCTCTGCCTCCTGAGATTGGCATTACAGGTGTGCACCACCACCACCAGCTTCTAAGCTTTTCTTTAACTCTTTTTTACAAATTGGAAACTTAGCTGGGTAGGATCTTATCCTGAGGTTACCACTCCCTTTATTCCATTTCTTAATCTGTTTATCTCCTTGACCACAGAATTTAGCTCTATTCCACTTCCTAGTGTTCCTTTTCTCCTCAAATTTTATATTTTCTTGCTCCTCATTATAAATCTGTATAAGAGTGACCAGTAATAACCACACAACAGAGTCAATACTAGGCTGCTTTGAGAGTTCCTCTGCTGATAGAATTAATCCAAATCGCTTCACTTTAGCCTCAGGCAGACTTTTCAGACAAGGGCGAAAGGTCGCCATTTTCCTCACCAAAATATCATAATAATGATCTCTAGACAACATACTAAAATTCTTCTCTGAAACCTCTTGAACAAGCTCTCCCCCACCCCCCATTCAAATAACTTAGCATCACCAGCTTCCATGCTCCTATTGCTGTGGCCCATTAAGCAGTGCTTAAAGCATTCCACTGTCTTCCTAACCCAAAGTACCAAAGTCCAAATTCCTCCAAACAAAAGCATGGTTAAACCTATCTCAGCAATACCTAGACCCTGATACCAACTTCTGTCTTAGTTAAGGTTTCTAATTCTGTGCAGAGACACATGACCACTCTTATAAAGGAAAACATTTAACTGAAGTGGCAGCTTACAGTTTCAGAGGTTTAGTACATTATCATCATGGCAGGGAGCATGGCGGTGTGCAGGCAGACATGGTGCTGGAGAATTCTACATCTTGATCCAAAGGCAACAAGAAGTGAACTAAATGTCACACTGAGTGAAGCTTGAGCAAAGGAGACCTCAAAGCCCGTCCCCACAATGACACACTTCCTCCAACAAGGCCACACCTATTCCAACAAAGCCATACCTCCTAATAGTGCCACTCCCTTTGGGGGCCATTTTCTTTTAAACCATCAAACAATTCTATCTGATATTTCCTCTGCCTATGAGATTATCCCATTGCCTTTGAGTTCAGCCTCACTCAGAGACTGAGCACAGGTAGAATGCAGCCAGATGATTTGCCAGAATATAATGTGAATGGCCTCTAGTCCAGTTCCCAGTAGAATTCTTATTTCCCTCTGAAACTGCATCGCCTGGACCTCCATTGCCCACATTCCTGTTGACATACTCATCTTCCAAATACCCACTAGAACAGGCTACTGAGCTCTGCTTACAACATCCTAAGGCTTTTCTAGTCTGAAGTTCCAAACTCTTATGCATTGTTTCCTCAACAACCCCACTCCTGGTATCAGTTTTTGTATTCATTACTTTTAGCATCGATGCAACAAAATATCCAACAAAAGCAGTTTAAGAAATAGTTTATTTTGGCTTAGATTTTGAGGATCTAGTCCTATACCCTGGAGCGTAAGACAGTTGGTCACATTGCATCCAGCCAAGAAGTAAGAGAGATGAATGTTGCTGCTTGGCTCCTTTCTTCTTGTTCCCATTGGGGACTCCAGTCCAGGTAATAATGCCACCCACATTTATGGTGTGGGTCTTCCTACCTCAGTCAGCCAATTTAGAAACTCTCTTAAAGACATGCCAAGTTTGTCTCCTAGGCCTATATCCTGTCAGGTTAACCATCACTCTTACAAGTTCCTTCTTTATTAGAAAATATACAAAGAGTCCTAGGAAATAGTATCCATATTGAGAAATAATAGGAGATAAGAAGACAAATGAGCCGGGCGGTGGTGGCGCACGCCTTTAATCCCAGCACTCGGGAGGCAGAGCCAGGTGGATCTCTGTGAGTTCGAGGCCAGCCTGGGCTACCAAGTGAGTTCCAGGAGAGGCGCAAAGCTACACAGAGAAACCCTGTCTCGAAAAACCAAAAAAAAAAAAAAAAAAAGACAAATGAAGTGTGTGTGCAAGTGAGATACTAATAAAGTGCCCTGGAAGGCTAGACAGACAGAATGTGCATGCTTACAGACAGATGTGCGTACTGATTGTGAGGAGTCATGGCATTGTTCATCATTAAGTTGGCCCAAGTAGACGCTTACCTATTCTAGACTTGAAGTTATTTGATTTGGTGCTTAGACCATGATTTTAGGCAATCTGTGAATTATGAATTTGAAGGGCATTCATATTTGTTTACCCTTGCTTTCCTCAGCCCTCCTCTCCTCCCTCCCTCCTTTCCATGCCTACCCTGTGCGTGTGATGTGTGTGTGTGTGTGTGTGTGTGTGTGTGTGTGTGTGTGTGTGTGTGTAAATATGCAAGTGACAGTTGTGTTGCAGATCCTCACAGGTAATTCTTTTGCAGTTAGCACTGAGGGCAGCACCATCCTATGAAGATTTTGTGGCTGCGCTAACCATAAAAGAAGGTGACCACCAGAAAGAAGCTTTCAGTACTGGGATGCAGAGGGACCTGAGCCTTTACCTCCCTGCTATGGAAAAGCAGCTGGCCATACTGGACACTTTATATGAGATCCACGGGCTGGAGTCTGATGAGGTGGTGTGACAGCTACAGGACAGCACCTCCTAACTTCAGGGAATAAAGTTTGCTAAAGTGTTGTGTTGCCCTAGTTAATTTTCAGCAACAGCTTTGATGCTCTCCAACTCCTTTCCTGGGGAGATAGACAGGAGGAAGCAAAACCTAGTGCTTTTATAGAATTGTTTTAATGCATATGTGTTTGGTGTTTTTAAAAATCAAGGTGCTAAATATTTCAGTTCAACAGGCCTACTGGAAACCAAATCATAGCTGTCACAGACTTGAATAGCAAGTAATAAGAGCAAAATTGACAAATGAATTTGTTGGGATCACATTTTATATTGTTCTGTTTCAGTTATTAGTTTTAATGGACCACCCAAATCCAAGCAGTATGCAGGACTATAATACAAAGCCAGTGTTTAAAATAGCTTAGAAATCGACTGAGTGTTGGAGGGAGTGTAAGCTTTGTCAAAGGACTTGCTGTGCAACGGTTTGTTATTTCTAGACTGTCCCGAGTGGGTCCCTTCTCTGTGACTCTGCTGATGAGAAGGGCAGTGTAGTGAAGACATTTTGACAGTTGTGGGAAAACACTAACAAGGACTGCCGCGCCTGTTGTCAGGGGGGACAGTGGCTCCAGGAGATGACCTCACCCCATGCTTGAGAACAAAATAGAAGTGTAGGGTAAGTTGTTTGGGTAACAAGTGCTACTCTTGGCCAATACATTTCCTGTATGTTATCTGAATTGGACATCATAACAAAACAGTGACACTATAGAGGATTGCTATCCTACTTCAGTAGTAAAGCCTATAATAGAAAGGTCTACTCACATTCATGGAGTATCTTGTTTCTCTTGATTTTATTTTATTTTTATTTATTTATTTTTTGCCGAGCTTTATGAACTCTCTTCAGCAAAAGAGCCAGGTGGCTTTAAATGTGATCTAGATCACCCCTGTATTGAAGTCATATGATGTGCTGTTTGAAAGAACAGAGTCCTAGAACTTACCTGAAGAACCCACTCTGGAAGTGAAACAGGAATTTTCTGGTTGATAACCTTCCCAGGCGATACTCAAGTACACAAGGTCGAAGGGCTACCCAATTGAATTCTAGTTTTCAGGATTCCCATTCTTCTGCAAGAACCAAATGATGCATCCCCCTACCCCAGGAGAAAGAGGGCCATCATTCAAGTAAAGTAATTAAGTAGAGAGTGAGTAGACCAGCAGCTTGGGTAGCATTGCTTGTGGCATCTCTGTAAAGAGTGACAAGGTGCCCGTGTCTCCCAGTAATGGACCAAGAGAGTGCATAGGGGAGAAGCCATGCATGCCTTCCCCAGGAGAGGCTACTTCCTCCTAGTAACAAGAAAAGTCATTCAAGCATGAGCAGTCCCCCAGAGAAAGGGAGCCCTTGCCAGGCACAGGTGAAGGGAGTGACTGCACGCTGCGATTGCTGCTGCATACACTAGGGCTCTGCAGAGAATTCGTGCAGGGAAAGGTACTGCTTTGGTCTGTCTTCAAGCAAGTGGGCATTTACTCAAATTAATGAAGCACTAGAGCTGGCCACGGCGGTGCACGTAAACCCAGCTGTTGAGGAGTATGAGGCAGAAGTATCACTTGGGCCCAGGGTGTGGAGGAAAACCTGGGCAGCTAGCAAGACCTTGCCTCTTAAAATTTTTAAGAAGAAAACCTCAAGTGAAGCAAGCATTTTGCCTACATGAGAAGTTCTAGAAAGTAAACAAACAGGAGGAAGGGCTGAAATTACTGACAATGTGCTCTTAGCTCCCACAAGAACTTCATCTGGGTCCTCTTCCTTGGCTAGTGGAAATCTGAGGGAGGGGCTAGGGCATAATTTAGACCTCCTGCCCTTGACATAGCCTCTTAAAACCAGAAAAAGAAAAGGTAGCTAGTCTTCTTGTCTCCGAGAGTGGGTGTGACATCAGTGGGCTGTGCTACCAGGAAATTGATACTAAGCATGGCTGCCCTAAGCAGCTGTGGGTGCCTCTCTGGTCTCTAGAGCCCAGGGGCAGGGCACTCTGAGAACACCTCGGTCTGCACTGAGGCTCTAAGTGCACACAAAAGGAAAGCTGCCTTGCAGGGCAGTCTGAGTTTCTAGGTTCATTCCACCTAGATTGGTAGTCTTTGGTTGCTTCTCACTTTAGTTAAAGCTAGGGTTTTTGTTTTATTTCGGGGTTTTTTTTTTTCTCTGATTTTCAGTTACTTTCTAAGAAAGGGGTAATAAGAAAAGATCCTGAAAGTGCTCCCAGGAGCCCTTCTAAGAGCCCTGGCATCCCTCAGCCACTTTCACCCCAACAGGTGGAGACAACGCTCACCCGATCTTCATTGCTAACAACAGTTTTGGATTATTCTCCTAGCATAACTTTAAGGGAGAATCTGAAGAATAGGGAAATGTGTCTCCCTAGACACCAGCAGCATTGAATAAGGAGCATTGGCTGACCCTTACAGAGCACTGCCCCACCACCATTTCATCGGCCTGCTCTTCACCCCCACCCCATGAAGCTCAGCTCCACACTGGCTGGCATCAGTGTGCATGTGTTGAACCGAACAAAGGCTCTTCAATTGTGACAAGCCTTTTGTCTTTTGAAAACATCTGATTATAACTAACACCTACTGAAAGATACTAACTTGGAGGTGTGGCACCTTTGAGGGTAGAAACCAGCTTGTAACTGAGGCAGAGGTGATTTCCATGGCAGCTCTTGACACAGCCAGAAGGGTGCTCTGGGGATGTAGTGGCTTGTTACTGTGTCCCAGTCATTCTGAGCATGAAACTATCCCCCAGTGTCACTTCCCATAGTGGGGAACATCATCTATACCCCTTCTTTCAGCCTTGGAACTTTTTTCTTCTGTTATTGAACATTGCTAGCAGTGAGCTACCCCTCCCTCCCCGCCCCACTTAAGCTTGCCACAGGGATCCCCGCTCCTAGCCCTTGTTTCCTCTTCTTCAGCAGCAGCAGCAGCAGCAGCCCACCTGGCCCAGGATCTGTTACCTACCTATCGAACTGCCAGAGCTTAGGGCAGAAGCCACGTTCACATTTGTAGCTGTAAGGTAGGGGAGGGTCACAGTGGGAGAGCTGAATGCCACAGGGAAAGAGCAAGCACACCTCTGCCTTTGACTGGTCCATGTACAGTTAATGTGTTCACCCTGCAGAGTAGTGTTTTTAGGTAAGAAGTGTGTGGTGAGATTGGTAAATTCAGTGCACTTTGTTAAAGTGAGAAGAGCTGAAGAATTGTTTTTCTAAAGAAAACTAGTACAATCTTAAAGGTCATGTGTATGGAGAGACTTCAGATAAAGCAACAGAGAAATGAGAAGGTTTTGAGCAATATAAAATATAAGGCATTTTGGAGACTTTCTGGAGAACAATTTTTTTTTGTCTATTTCCTGCTAGACCCCTATGTCCTACAGGCACGGGGTCCCATTGTGTTGTGTTTTGAATCATCGATTCAAACCACTGCTTCTGATGTAGTCATGGGTTTACAACAGTTCAAATCTCCACCCTCATGTTTCATTTCACTACTAAACATTTTTAAAATAGAAGGTTTCTAGATGTAGAATTTCTGACTAACTACAGTCTGTGTTGAGCCAACCCTCAATTCAGCAATCTAATGTGTTTGGCCATAGAGATCCAGACCTGAGATGCTTTGTGACACTGCAGTCTACATGTTTGTATGCGGCAGACTCCAAAAGTATACATGAAGTGCTGTATTGAGAAATGCATTCTACTTCCATGTGATCCTTTGTAACCTGCAGTTGCTTACTCAGGGGTTTCACAATAACAACATAAATATCCGATAGCTGTCCGATGGCATTTGAAGACTTTTTCCATAACAAGGTTATAGATGTATAATATTAGTTGAGGGTCCTTTCACTGCTCACTGGCCCTCCCCTGTGAATGCTCCAAGTCCAACCCTGTCCTGCAGACCATTTACATGATTTCTTGCTGCACAGCTGCATTCAAAAAATCTAGGACATGATCAGCCTGTCACTGGTGATGCCTCTGGTACAGATGATGCATGCATTGATCTCTCTTCTCCATTGTCTGTATATAGCCTTTAATGGAAAGGAAAAAAGGCCACTACTCTGTAGTGCACAGTTTTCTTCTGAAATTCTTTCTTGTAAATTGTAAATCCTTGAGTCACTTTTTCAGAGTGAAAAGTGTTTCTAGCCAAGCTGTGGGGGGCATAATATCCTACTTGTTTGAAATGTCTCATGTATTTAAACTGTGGTCAGTATCCTCCTCACCTTACATTATGCATACCCCTGGGTGGGGTGGTCCCCTCACCCTGTGGGGGTGGTTCCATCATTCCTGGCATGGATGACCTCATTACACAGCTGATCTCATCCACACAGAACCCCATGTGTGTGTCCACAGGTGTAGGTGGAGTCGGTGAAGAGAAGGGTGATCTAGACAGCAGATGAGCCAGCTACATGGCACGGGTAATGTATGATTCCCATGTGTCATGAGAATTTCACTAGAATGTCATTCAGCAGCCCAACTACCTCATGTGAAATTGGCTGTGGACAATCTGTGTTAGGTGAGAAATGTGTTCAGAGAAATTTATTCTGGTTAATAAATTGAACAGAGTGGTGTCTCTATGAAGAAGAAACATGTTATACCAGATGCCAAAGGCTAAACTATACGTAGATTTTCTTGGATTCCTTTCTACGTTAATGTTTAATTCCACAGTCTGTATCTTCATGAATGTTTGTAGTTTTGTAGAGCCATATGCTCTCAATACCTGTCACAGAATCCTGTGTCAACCCCCTCGTCTCTCAGTATTTTGAATGAACATCATAATGCTGATAGGAAGCAAGTTAAACTATAAAAATGTCAACTTGTGGCTTCTTAATTTAATGGACTTTTACTTAGAAATGTATTGGAGCCTTTTAGGACCAATTGTTGAGTGAAAATATTGTGTGCAAATTTGTCTGCTTCTCTGTCCAAGTTGTTATTCTGTATTTCATGGGAAGTGGGGCAGGGGAGGGTTTTACTTCCTTTGGAGAATGTTTGAAAACATCCATCAGATTTTTATATTCATTAATTACAATAAACATATTTTTAGAGTATTTTATTAAGTGTTTTTCAAAGGTATTCTCTGAGTTTTGCTTAATTTTATATGCCAAAAATATGTATTGTTTATGAAACACCCACACCATGCCAGTTATCATTCTAAGTCCTTGACCAATATTAACACATTTTCTCCTACTAACTGTAAGACAGATACTCTAGTTACCTTGAAGTTACAGTTGGGAGAACTGAGGCACAGACTGGGAGGCCTTCTGCCTAATTCCCACAGCTGATGAAGACTGGAGACAGGCTACGAACCAGGACTCCCAGCTCCGGGATCTTCACAAAGCTCATAAAACCTCCAGCATCAGCCAGAGTAGTGGCGTCTGCATTGGTAACCTGGGTGTTCTAGAAAGACCAGCCCTTTTCAGAAGCGGTTCTTGACTTTGTTTTCAGAGCTGTGAGCAGCAATGAGGTCACAGCCCAGCGCTGCTGCCAGAGCCTAGGAAGTTCTTCCCTTAGAGACCTCCACTCCAGTGAAGCCAGATCCTTGTCTGCCTCAGAAAAGAACCCTAGAACTCCAGAGAAGCAAAATTAGTGTTCATCAGGCAGAGAGAAGAGACAGTGCATACTTCAGATGTAAGGGAGGGGGGTTGAGAGTTGATACTTTAGTTGTTCTTACACTTATGCAAGTATAGCAGATGAGATACCCTCGACCCATTCTGAGGGTAACACCACACACCAGAATCGACCAGTCATCATTCCAGGATGACAGAAGGGAGCCTTTGGAACAGTGATGTTCACGTTGGCCCTGGTGACTGAGGACACAGGTTGCTTTGCAGGTAGACTCCAATTTGAAGCTGTCTCCCTTAGAGAACAGAGCCACCAAGTCTTTGCTGACCTGTGTGGCCAACTGTAGGTCATTGTTCGGTTGTAGAGTCAGAATTGTTGAAATGGCTTTAATTATTAAATGTTCAAAGTCCTTCATAGATCAATTACCTTAGTTGCTGGGCCCTCATCCTCTGAGGCTTCATTGTCCACCCCCACATGTGCCCCAAGTTTCCTCAGTCACTGGGGAAGACGGAATGATGATCCTCCCACTGGCTTTTGATTTAGGCCTATTCTTGCCTGTCCTCCTCCTCGCACACTTGCATGGTCATAGAGTCCAGACACCCTGCTGACAATCTTTAAATTACACATGAGGTACAGTCCATTCACCTGGACTGTGATCTGGCAGCTTCATCCTAGACCCACCTGTCTCCTGGTCATCTTCCTTTCAGTAGTCCTTCCTTCCCCTGAGACCCCAGACCAAGCCTAGCTGCCCCTTAAGCGTTTCCAGCCAAATCAGGGGTGTCACCATTACTCTGGTATCTCAGGCAAGACATACCCTCAGCTCCCTTCTCCCTCACTCTGAATCTGCTTCGTCTTCAAGGCCTCCCTTGCTATCCACATTCCCTAAGCTGTAAAATCATCTCTCGGTCCTCTTTCATCCGGATTGACATGTCTCCCAAACCTGAAAATGCACCCTTAGCTCCATGCCTTGACTCAAACCCCTTCAGGAAGTTGGAAAGCCACACCCCTTTTCCACTCCAGGAAGATATTTCCAAACCACCTAGACACAAAAGTCTTAGCCATCAGTTCTCCTCCAATACTCCTGCACATCTAAATGATACCATGTCAAGGAGTGTTGCTAGAGTTGTAGCTTAAGTTTTCCTGCCTGGCCCGCAGTCAGGACAAATCTCTATCACCTGCCAGTCCCACAGCCTTTCAAACCCAACCAAATAAACACAGAGACTTATTTTGCTTACAAACTGTATGGCCGTGGCAGGCTTCTTGCTAACTGTTCTTACAGCTTAAATTAACCCATTTCTATTAATCTATACCTTGCCACATGGCTCGTGGCTTACCGGCATCTTCACATGCAGTTTGTCATCATGGCGGCTGGCAGTGTCTCTCTGACTCAGCCTTCCACTTCCCAGCTTTATTCTCCTCCTTGTCCCGCCTACACTTCCTGCCTAGCCAATGGCCAATCAGTGTTTTAATTATTGACTAATCAGCAACACATTTGACATACAGAACATCCCACAGCACTTCCCCCTTTTTTTTTTCAAAAAGGAAGGTTTTAACCTTAACAAAGTAAAATTACATATAATTTGGGAATTTGGACGTAGCTTCTCTTACTACTTCCTGCTGGAGGGGGACGCTGTATCTTATGGGGAAACAAAGAAAATTTTAGGATTATGGAATAGTCCATGAGGCTGTATCGTCTGAGCCAGTTGCCTTGAAACCATTCTGGATGTTGGATCATCTGGGCCATGGTGTCATAGGAGACCTTTCAGGGGGTCTTGGCTGGTCAAACCTGATGTATCTTAATCTTGAACAAATCCATAGCCTCTGGCTTTCTGTGGAAACAAAAGAGACTCTTTTCCAAAGCAACATATCCTTATATTCAAATTTTGAAGTCAAGGTACCTTTAAAATATACATTTTGGCATAACTCAACAGCTTTTACAATCAAATGTTTTTCTGCAGTTAAAAGTCCCAAAGAAAACACAATGCAGATTCTCTGTGTAATATCCATTTTTACGTGGCTTATTTTTTATACTACCTTTACTGTCTCTTTAAAGACTTTATTTTTTAAAACTATGTATTTGTTTCTATAACTCTATATATCATCTTTTTTGTCTCTTTCAAGCCTACGTATCTTTTACACACATTGCAAACTATTACATCTGAATCTGTCTTATTGTGAATCTCTTGCTTTAAACTGCAGCAGCTGTGGCTGCTGGCTCCGCCCACCTCAGCTTCCCAACATGGCAGTGGTTTACCGCCAGCTCTGGGAGCTATCGTGGGTCTATGCTTTTATCCAAGCAGCAAGTAGCCCAGAAACCCTTTTTTGTTTTGCACTAGCAAAGGCTAAATCCACCATGTAGCTTAATGTGCCACTTGCAGAGGCCTCATTCCCGCCATACTGCAGGTCGAGCACGCACTCTAGGAACCCACCAGTAGCTCAAACAGGCAGCTGCCGCTCATTGAGAGAGACATTGGATAATAGAAAAAACTACAGAATTAAATCAACCTATATACTTTAAGGATGTGCTGACCTCAGAATGGAAACCAGGGTATGTGTTACGTTGGGGACGAGGTTTTGCTTTTATTTCTACAGGAGAAGATAAGCTGTGGGTACCATCAAAATTGATAAAGGTTCGATTTGAACAAGAGAGACACTGCCAGCCGCCACGATGAGAAACAGAATGTGAAGATACCGGTAAGCCACGAGCCATGTGGCAAGGTATAGATTAATGGAAATGGACTAATTTAAGATGTAAGAACAGTTAGCAAGAAGCCTGCCATGGCCATACAGTTTGAAACCAATACAAGTCTCTATGTTTACTTGGTCGGGTCTGACGGCTGTGGGACTGGCAGGTGAGAGAGATTTGCCCTGACTGTGGGCCAGGCAGGAAAACTCTAGCTACAAAGGAGGACTTGGGGACAGGAGGCATGACTTCCAAGGTGACTGGGTTAATTCTTTGCTGTCGTGTCTAATTATTGGTATAGCTGCCAGTGACTCTGAGGTTGGTCTACCCTGCCTCTTATGGTGCTTTCTCTGTGTCTGCAAGGATTTTGAAACAGTTTTACAAGCTAACAGTCACCTCAAATGGTGTTTCCTGATTCTTTCAGATGAATTATTTCTGTTACCCAGCTAGATGAAGTAGATACCAGGCAGTGCCCCACACAGTACAGCTCCCCTCTGCTGCCCCGAATATTTAAACAATACCTAGACTGGCTGCTGTGGGGCCAGAGGGAAGGAGGGAACAGGAGGAAAGAAGATGATCAGGAGGGGAAGGCTGATTTTGAGTTTCTCTGTGTGGCCGTGCATCTGTGTATGTGTGTTTCTGTGTGTCTGTGTGTGTCTGTCTGTGTGTGTGTTTATGTGTCTATGTGTGTGACTCTGAGTGTGTCTTGTATATCTGTATGTGTCTGTCAGTATGTCTATGTATAATATTACTTGGACTTTGCTAATATTCCTAAAATGTTTGTGTCAATGATATTTTTAGGTGTCAAATTGTGAATCAGCAGTGTTACACCCAGTTCATGGTTCTCAGCTCTGTACATACAGACTTGGTAGAAGGAGTCTAAAAATGCTGATGCTTGGGCCCCTGCCTATGCATCAGTCTTGGGAATGTGGCCTGTCCCTGCTGCTGTTAAACACTCCCCAATAATTCTGACATCCAGCCCTGATTGAAATCCTTAAAGCTACTGGTCCATCCTTTACAATTGTCTGTGGGGCCTTTCAGGATGAATCCAGACTGTAGAACTTCCTTCTTAGGATCCAATAAAATGGTAATTAAAATAGGTATAATTTTTATTTATTTATTTATTTATTTATTTATTTATTTATTTATTTATTTATTTTGGTTTTTCGAGACAGGGTTTCTCTGTGTAGTTTGTGCCTTTCCTGGAACTCACTTTGTAGACCAGGCTGGCCTCGAACTCACAGAGATTCACCTGCCTCTGCCTCCTGAGTGCTGGGATTAAAGGCGTGCACCACCACCACCCGGCAAAATAGGTGTAATTTTAAAAGTTTAAAAAAAAACTTGAAAAAGTTTCCAGCGATCAAGCCGTAGAAAGAACCGAGACTTGTCTTTGTGCCTTGAACTCCAGAGTACTAGCCAAAGAAGACGACTAGATTTCCCACCAGGAAGAACAGCTCCTAACCCCATTGCCACTGAGGGAAAAATCCAGAATTTCATTGAAATCTCAGAGTTAGAAAGGAGCTGGTTACTAATGGGAACTGAAGTTCCCTGAGAAAGCCTCGCCCACATTGATTCTGCTGACTGGTTAGGACTTCTGTGGTTTTAGAGAGTTGGGATGTTGCAGATGAAGAGCCAGATTGTCTTGGGCTGCCCTCAGCCCCTCACTATTATGCACCTGTGCATCTGACTGGACATGTTTCCATCAGGGAAACTTTTGTAATGTATCGAGTCATAAACAGGCCACTGGTTTCCACTAATTGCCCCAAAGCTAAGAATGTCATCCAGAAGTATCAGAAACACAACAGGGA